TCTTTGTCACAATACCTTTGGTCATTATCATAACATTGGCATGAAATTTGGCTACGATCTTCTTAATCTGAAAGAAAAGGGCCAGGTCACTATTGTCGAACCGATGAAAATTATAGCCAGCAATATCTGATACGTGTAAAGGTTTTACAAACAGAACAGAAACAGTAATTCCAGATGTCACTTCTACAGAACATGTAGATATCGCACATAGATTTTTTGCACGTGTCAAAGAGAAGTATGACGAAGCAGCAAGATTTACTGAATCTGTTGTCCTTGTTATCGACGATATAAATCATCTCCTTGATCTCGGTTTTAGTACACGATACTGTGTATTTTATAAGATACTTAAGATCGTTTATATCATTGTCTCCCTTGTCGCAGCTTTGTATTCTCGCACATGCGTATCAAGAAAATCTACAGACTTCGAATGCAGATACGATTGCTAATGCCTTAAAATACATGTCACATCTGTGTGTCGCGACACAACCATTCAGGACAGGACATTCTAGTGACGCATCCGGTAAACTAACTGTTTACTGGAAGACAGATTCCGTTAGATCTAAATATCATTGGTTAGAGAAAACAACGCATCTGTTTGAATTGTTGGATTGGCAAGTAAAGATTTGTGCACCTGGTACGACGTCTGTCCTATCATAAATAATAACTTGACATTGCTATAGCTATTTCTTGATTTTTATGTACTTCTGATATTGTTACTTACTGATATTTATTAATGTGTTGTTTATATATAGAAGTAGTAAAAAAAAATACATTAGGTATCTAATTTGAAATGTATTTTCTACGTTAATTTATAACATGCATCTTATTCTCTATTTCTTGTAAAAAAATATTTTCGGTTACAAGTTGTCCTATTGTTCTAAATAAAAATTTATTATATTAAATGGAATGAAAAATTGTATAATTTTAATGGAATTATATACTTAATTTTTACATGAAATATAAGATATCCTGTAAACTATTAATATTTTACTATAATATTTTTATATTATAAAATCATTAAAGGAAAAATTTATGAAAAAGGTTGTATAATTTTATTATAAAAATTGAGATATCTCATTTTCTTTGTCCTTTTTTAAAGAGATACTCTTATCTACCACTTAAAAGGCTTCAA